AGAGAGGAGGGAAGATGACGGACGGAGAAGCCGGCGGTCCAGACAACGACCGGCGGAGGTCAAACGGCACCCGCCGCTAGTGCCCCATACGGCTAGCGCTCCAACCAGAGTCCTGGTTTACTCCTTTTAGGCCAGTAAGAAGGCTTATCAGCCTCTGGTCAGATGAACAGGGACAAACTTCCTCTCATGCAACTCCAAGCCCTTGAACGGGTGAGGCCGCCCGTAAGGTCCCCTTGGAAGATCCGGATGCTGCATTTCCTCCGGTAAGTTGCTCCAGGCGCCCAGCCAGGGCTCGGTGCTTCCTCGTCACCTCCTCCCACTCATAGGCCATCTCTTCGCCGTCTTCGTCTCCCATATCGTTCATCTCTGTAAGAATCATTCCAAAATCTCCACCCAATCGTCCTAGACTGGCAGCGCAGTATAGAACTTGGGTGAGAAGACTTTCACGCGAGCTCTTATCCCGAACATTCGGAAGATATGCCCGCAAGGTGTCGGTCAGTAATTGAACCAGATGCATGGGAAACGTTGCAAGTGCTGGTGGGAGGTGCTGTAGTGGATCTTCTTGCTGAGCAGATCGCGGCGCTGTAGATCTAATTCGCGCGTCAATCCCTCGCAATCCTGTCGCTGCTATTTCCGACTCGGCCTGGTTAGGGGTAAAGATGTTCTTGTACAAGGAAACAATAGCAAAACTCTGCTCGCGGAAGATTTCAATATAACGCTTTAAAAACTTCTCTGTCTGGTGCCCATCAGACCAGGATCCGGGCTTCTTTTCCGTACTCTGGGTTCTGCGGTGCGATTCCTGGTCTGCAAGCTCTCGTAAGGGGTCTAGCGCTTCGAGCGTCGCCACCAGATTCGCCAATCTACAAATCAAGAACAAAGCACCAAGGGCGCCTTCTCCCGTTCCAGTTCCTCCGTCGCTACGGAGATTCTCCAGTTCGGGGGCAACTCGCCGCAGCCAGCCAACAGTTCTCATAGCAGCGGCTAATCGGAGATTCTGAGCCCGAAGACCAGTTATCAGATGTGTAGTCATGTCCTTCATGGCGTCCTCGGCTTGAGCGGAGACATCTCTAACAAGGGGAGAGTCCGGATACAGAGTTTGTAATCTCTTGATATGCGCATACACGTCTAATGCTGCTGAATATGTCGTGGAGGATGAACCACCCGCAGCCCCAGAACTTGCGGCTGCTGAAGACACGGCAGTTGAGAGCAAAGTTGGCAATTCCAGAATGTCCGACAATCGGTCAACATTCCTTGCCAGTTGCATTACTTTCTTCCGCTTCTCCAGAGATGCATTCTCGGCGGCTCGACTGTATTTCGACGAGAACAGGACGGCTTCTTCGTCTAGCTTTGGAATCGCATCCCGTAATTGCTGTGCATCTCGAGACAACTGGGGGATAGAGTTTCGTAGAGCTGAGAGGCTGTCGGCGGAAGAGATGAAGGTTTTATGGGAGCGGTTTGATAAAGCTTGAAGCGATAGGATATTTGAATGAGATGACTGCGCGAGTGACTGTGGTTCGGTTTCTTGCAATGCCTGGAGTGAGAGGGTGGGCAACCTGTTGAGGTACTGGGCAGTGGTTGTATCATTTTCAGGGCTCAATGGGGTGGGGGAGGCATTTGTGGAAGCCAAATGCGGCGCCAAAAGCTCATAAAGATAGTCCGCCATGATGCAACTCCTTTACAGGTTTCTCAATCTAGAACGATCAAATGTGGGGCATAGATGGCCGGCAGGTTGTTGGAGAGAGGAACTGGACAACCTTTGGTCGTGAGACGCGATGCTGTACGGAAGCCGCAGCGGCAACTAGCGCAGCATCTCCGAATGTCTCTCCACATTCACCTTCCCCGTCCTATACCTCTAGCATTGTCTTGTGGCCTAACCAACGTCCGGACGTTGCATTTTCATTTTACATTTCCTTGTCTTCCCCCTCTTTATTGGGTTTTAGTTTTGATTTCGACTTTTGACGCTCTACCACCTTTATCCATTGAAAGGTATGTCGGTCAAATTAAGGGATTCTGTTTATCTGCAGAAGATCACTACTGCTGCGAACCGGAAGCCATCACTGGGAGTAATCAAATAAGAAAATAAGAATTGCAATGTATACTAGAGAACTCTGAAGAAATAGGCTGTGTTTTGGGTAGTGCATTCCAGGTCAGGGTCCAAAAGTATGTGACCCCCCACTGTACCAGGATCACATCTTATCGGGATTCTTAAGCCCTATGTCTAAGTTCGATCTTGTCTCACCTCAGATACTCCTCGAGGAACAGCCCGTGGAAACTATTCAAGAGCTACCCGGCGCGTCCAAGTTTAACGATATAATACCTTGAGCTATCATAGAGGAACGCATACTATGTTGCGGGCCAATATGCAAGCGGCTATTAGTATTCGAGACTTCAGACGATAGGGGACGATTACATCACTGGACAGACTAACCGGATAGGGACAACTATCAGGTACTTTGCGCGGTTCCCGCCCTGCAAACTCAACGACGTCCACGCTTTGTTCCTTTGTTCACTTGTTCTCTTGGGTAAAACGCTTGTTTTTGTAGCTCTAGCTGGTTGGAATATCCACTTGATACGTTGCAGGCAGTGTCTGCAAAAAAATTCCTGGGAAGCAGTCGTCTTACTGATCTTTTCAACCCCGCCTGTGCCCCTCCTGCGAATGCGGCATTAACCATGGGGAAACCGCGGGTGAGTCCTCCAGAACGATCATGTATGTGTTCTGTTTACTCATACGGACTAGATGATCATTTTGATCCGCCATGCCCAGTCAGAAGGCAACAAGAATCGCGAAATCCACCAGACCATTCCCGATCATCGGGTAAAACTCACTGCGGAAGGGCATCGACAAGCCCATGAGGCCGGCTCCACACTGCGCGCCCTCTTGCGACCCGATGACACGATCCATTTCTTCACATCACCATATCGCAGAACCAGAGAAACTACGGAAGGAATCCTTCAGTCGCTAACCTCTGATTCTCCGTCTCCGTCGCCTTTCCCCAGACACACCATCAAGGTATACGAAGAACCTCGTCTGCGCGAGCAGGATTTCGGTAACTTCCAGCCATGCTCTGCTGAAATGGAGCGCATGTGGCTGGAGAGGGCGGATTATGGACACTTCTTCTACCGGATCCCGAACGGTGAGTCGGCTGCTGATGCCTATGACCGGATAAGCGGTTTCAACGAGTCACTGTGGCGACTTTTCGGAGAAAACGATTTTGCCAGTGTCTGTGTTTTGGTCACCCATGGTCTGATGACCAGAGTCTTTCTCATGAAATGGTACCACTGGAGCGTCGAGTACTTTGAAGACCTACGGAACATCAACCACTGCGAATTCGTAATCATGAAACTCAATGAAGATAATGGGAAGTATGTGCTGCAGAACCAGCTCCGCACATGGTCAGAGTTGAGGAAGGAGAAGGAGCTGGAGAGACAGCGAGATCGGGTTGTGAATGCAGTCCCTCCAGCGGTGCCACCATCTGAATCACTCGTGCCCATCCGGCGTAAATGGGGCGGTTGTCCGGACGGGTGTAACCATGGCATTCGCAGGAAGGGCTCGACGCGGTCCAACCGAACGACTGGAATGGACCTTGCCCGGAATACCCTTGATGCACAGCACAGAAAGGCCCACGACTCCATTCATACTCATAACCAGCCAGCACAAGAAAGCAACAAAAGTAAAGGGCCCTCAACGGATGTGAAAGCGCAGGTTGAGGGGCAATTTATAACAGCGCCTGAACCAGCGCTTGGAGACAGGTCCAAAGAAGCAAGATTCTTCACCAATATTATTCCTGCTCCTGCTCCACAATACGGAGATTTCCCTAATCCCCAGCCCACTCGATCCGACTTTCCGCCAAACGAACCCAACAGCAATGATCAAGAGAGCAACTCCAACAACGCAACCACCAGGGCAAGTCCCATCCCCAAGCGTCCAGACCTATCCAGGCTTCACCGCGACAGCGAGGACCACCTCCTGCACCCCCCGCGATCAAACTATGCCCTCCTCCACCTCAGTGGCCGCGACGGAGGCGGCACATTAAGCGGAGCCAACAGTGTCGCACCATCAGAAGACGAGCGCGAGGACAAGCCCCCTAAACCCACCACCCACCAACCAAAGCCCTCCCACGACCTAGGCAACGACGGCGATGACGAGGGCAGCGGTACACAGGCACAACGTCTCCGGCGCTCACGCTCTCACCACACCAGCCACCGTCACAACCATCCCCCCACCCCAGGCAGACGACACCTATCCAAGAAACCCCCCAACGGCTACCCAGACAAAGACCGAAACCTAGACAGCGACCACCCAGACTCCTCAATCGACCACGAAGAAGACCCAGACCCAGAATACCACGAACCCAACGACGACCTCGAAGCCGCAAGACGAGAAGACCAAAGTGTCAGAGGAAGCGTCTACTAAGCAATGCTTTTCTTGGAACCAAACATAGACCAACAACCTATCACCCTACCTCTCATGCAACACGAATTAAACCTTGACGATGGAAACCTATCTTATCTATTTCATTGTAACGAGCAGCGACCTGTACACCTCTTTTCCGTTCGTTTCAAAAAGAACATCGATACCCGACGTTTTTTCCCTCATACACCTTCTTGCCTCTCTTCATGATACATACATACTACTACATTACATACATAGTTTGAATTGCTTCGTACATTAATTGAAATATTGAATAAGTACGTTTGAGTTTGAGATAAAGTATACTAGAATTCATCCTGGTTGATGGCACTCAAACTGAAACATTTCCACCAATTGATCTATCTGCCGTGTTGAGTTCAGCGAAGTCTTAACGAATCGTAATTATATCATGTCTACCTCGCAATTCAGGATTACATATTTACAGGAATAAAAGTGAGACCTATTATTTTGAGGGAAACTCAGATTTTCATCGATTTTCCACTATTTCATATGGTATGTCTGAGAGAAGTTAAATCTAACTTACAATCAAAGATTGAATTTGACAATAGCACAGGTGGGTCAGCACCGTGAAAAGAAGAAAAAAAAAATGTAACAGAAGCACATGGTGAGAAGGGGGAGTATCACTTTTTTTGAATTGTCTTACCAACGACGGACGGGATAAAATATAGAAAATTGTAAGACAAACACGGATCGATGGACAAGTCGTAACAAATGGTAAATAACAAAGGTTGAGTGTTCAAAAATGAAGATAAACTACAACCGAGAGAAATGATCCTCGATCCCGGCGTCAGAGCACGCCGAATGGGTTCACGGGGCTTGTCATAGCATCGAGGAGGACTCCGATTAAAGTGAAGAGAAGAATGGGACAGCATCTGCCAACCGAAACAAAACAATGCAACAAGCCGGCAAGGGAATCGAATGAAACGAGGTATTAACGCCATGGTACTCAAGGCAAGAAGTTGAGTAGAAAATGGAAGAAGTAAAAAGGGAAACCAATGTCCAAAGTCAACCAACGTCAAGAAAACGCAATCTATGAGTGACATCCGCCAGTAGATATGCCCAACCAAAACAAACAAGAGAAAGAGGAGAAAGAGAAAGGGGGAAAGGAGAAGTTGAAAAGAAAAAAAAGGCTGAAGATAATAAAAAAAAAAAAAACAGAACATCATGAATGTCGTGACTTTTCACTTCAAAACTTGAAGTCCAACGATCTTTGCAAGTGATATTCGAACATGATGGGCAGATGCCCATAAACAACGATATCGTATCAAATCAAGATGGAAGGTTCTATGCCTTGTCGTAAATACATGTTCGAGCTGCGTCGTAAATGTGGCACTTGTTCGAATATCGCTTTGCACACTTTTTTTTCGAGTGTTTTTCGTTTCAAATATTTCAGAGAAAAGGCGATCAGAGGACTTTTCAGACACAACAGTAGGAACCGGAACCGAATAAAAGAGTGTCATCACCAGACCGAAAATTGCGAGATGCGGTATCATCAATAAACAAAGGTGAACAAGTCTAACGAAAAAACAGAGTGGTCGATCGAACTGAATGTGCATTGTACACCGCGGATTCCGAAACGGCCTAGCAAGCTACCCACTAGCCGGCAAGAATAGGTTGCATTCCACCGAAGGCACCAGCACACATGTAGTGCTCGACGTGTTTAGCACAATGCAAGCAACCACAGGACGAACCATGACCTGTCCATACACTCTGTGCAAAAGGCAATGCATATGAAGGGGTATGGTGGTAGGAGGGCGGTTGCGACCGTGGCGCCTGTGGCATGTATTGTGGCTGGGGAGGGATCCAGGTCCGGGAGTATGGCGGTGGCGGGTTCGTATAGGCCCACGGTCCAACAGCGTAGTAGTCTGGGGTGTTAGGACCACTATGGGGGGCCGATGGAGGCGAATACTCAGACGCCGCCGGGTTGAGCCACGAAGTCTCAAAATGAGAGCTACGCTGGTA